GGGGCTACTACCGAGCTTTGGCTTTTCACTTGCGGGCGTTCGCCCGGGAAGCGCGGCCGGTGCCCGCGGCGGATCGCGTTTGGCGCGAGCGAAGCATCGGGCTGAGAGAGGTGAGCGGCTCGGTGGAGGGGGCGCGAGAGAGGCGCGACGAGCGTCGGGTTTTCGGCTGCGCCGGGAGGGGGGCCCCGCTGGCCGGAGCCCCAACCGGCGATAAGCCCGGCGTGCTGCCCCCGGCATCGGCCTCATCCGTGGAGGGGCAATAGTCGGAGAAGTCCGTGTCGGAGGGCTCACTTAGAGGTGGAGGGGTGGTGTCAGCACGGCGCTTGCGCCCGGCCGACAGCCTTCCGGGAACCGCCGGCACTGGCGCCTGCGACGAGAAGGACGCCTGACTGGAAGCGGCTGAGGAGATGCTGCTCGTCGAGGAAAAGGACCCGGAAGAGAAGGACCCGGCAGCCGAGCCGGCGTTCTGGCGCGAGGGGATGGAGACAACCTCGCTGGGAGTGGGGGAGGACCGAGGCCCATGGAGGGTGAGCTTGACTGACTTTTTGCCAGGGGAAGTGAAGTTGAGAAAAGCGAGGAAGGGCTGGGGGGGGGGGGGGATAGGAGGTGCCAGGCAGGTCTTTGCCAGGCGAGAGGGACAAACGCACACATCCCAGTCAAATTGCTGGTTGACAACAGCATCCAGGAGGAAGCCCACGCCGTGCACCGGCAAGTGAACAGGCAAGCTGCGGAGGAGGACGGCCTCTCCGCGGGCTGGCGTGAGGGACTTCTCCGGGGCGGCGGCGGCGGCGGCGGCGGCAGTCAGGGGAGCCGGTGGCCGGGTGCGCTTTTGACGAGACCCCAGCCCTGTCCCAGCGGGAGCGCCAGCGGTGGATGTGCTTGCCGATGCCGGCAATCCGGCACGTGGTTTGGTCGTCGCCGCAAGCACGATGTCCTCCGTGTGAAAGAGCTTACCTTCGATGTTGTCGCGCGAAAGGGGCATATACTGGCGACGCAGATCGGGAGAGGGTGAGGGGGGGGGGCACAAGGAGGAGACGGACGGGGAGGAGGGAGGTAAGCATGGGCAGGACACCGCAAGGAAACCCGGCGCTGGCTGGGGGCGTGCCAACATACCAGACCTCCGGCCGAGCACACGATTGCGCGAAGTTCCACCGGCGGGGGGACCTCCACGCAATCGGTCACGAAAACCGTGCGGCCATTGAGCAGCGGGGTCCGAAGGGCGCGGGATCGGGCCTCCTGAAGCCGCTCATCCCGGATGCGGTAGTCTTGGGGATCTTTCCCGCAGGGTGACGCAGATGCTCACACATGTCAGACCAGGGGGGGCAGAAAGCCGGCGAAGGGTGGGCAAAAGGGAGGAGGGAGGCGGGGGGCACACCACGCACGAGGGAAGTAGCCGAGCGCTCCGGCCGCGACGAGCCAGGACTCGTCCACGATTTCAGCACCCCGGGCGACGGCACAGAGCCACTTGGTCGTCCGGCGCACGGGCGCCGGAGCCACCAGGTGCGTGGGGAAGTATGTGTCCGCCGGGCTGGCCAGCATGGTGCCGGAGAGGGACATATTGAGCTTGCTGAGATCTTGCTGCTGCTCCGGGAACGGGTCCAGCACGGTGGCTCGCAGTCGGCGGGCAATCTGGCGATGGGAGGGGATGTGTGGGCGGGTGAGTGTGATGGGGGTCACCGGTCAAATGGGTGGTAGAGTGCCACTGGGAGAGAGAGAGAGAGAGAGAGAGAGATGGGAAGCGGGGCAGCGAACGAAGAGACAGCCCGAGGGAGAGACGAACCGCGGATAGATCCCGCACACGGGATGAGCTCAGCCCAGAGAAAGCGATGCGTGGGTGTGGCTCCGGATCGAAGTAGCAGATACCCTGGGGAATGGCGGCGGCCGTCGGTGGCGTTGGCGGTGCCTCGAGCTTCGGCTCGACCTGCATCACGGGGCCCGGGGCCCGGGGACTTTCCTCGAGCAGGCAAAGGGCCGAGTCCAAAAACAGGTGCCGGTGGGGCGAGAGCAGTGTCGCCGGTAGCTCCACCCGCCTGGGGGGGGTGGACGGCACAGGGTCGTGCACCCCAGCCCCGACAGGTGCCGGCGCCAGGGAGGCTCCAGCTGCTGCCGGTCCGCCCGATGGCACCGGTGCTGCTGCTACTGCTGGCCGATGGTCCACGCGAGAAACGGCAAACGCCGAGCCTGCCTGATGGAGGGTGATGGCCACCAGCTCGCCGGCGGGCGATGCGGGTGGCGAGACTGGGCCCTCAAGGCAATCATCCCCCCGGGTGGCGTCCGGAGCCACGGCGACAGGAGTGTCGGTGGTGGTGGCAGCGGCGGCGGCGGCGGCGGCGGCGGCGGCGGCGGCGGTGGCCGCAGCGGCAGCGATCGAGCGCGCCATGCCCGGTGACCCAAAGGTCGGCGAGGAGGCCGCCTTGGTGGAGCGCGCCGAGGCCACGGGTGTGGCCGGAGCACCGGGAGCCAGGTGTCGCGCGGCCGCCGGGCCAGCAGGCGAGGGGCTCCCAGGCAGAGCAGCGGCCTCCAGGGCCCGAGCCACCGCCTCGTGACAGAAGGCCAGCGGGGGCGTGGGACTCAGTGCCGAGGCCGGGCCCAGGCTTGCGGCCGGCGTATTCGGCATGGGACCCTCTGCAGGCAAGCAACAAAGACATGATTAGCCGGCGACAAAGACGCACACCGTGCCAAAGAGGCTGAGGCATGCCGGAGCAGGAGAGGCGAGCAGGGACAAGACAAAGAGGGAAAGAGGGAGAAACGGAAAGGCAAAAGGAAATCCACGGACCAGGAAGCCGAACGGGGGCTGCCTTTGCCGCGGTGGCAGCCACTGCTGCTGCGGCCGGCTCGGCTGCCTGAGGGTACCCCTGCGCAACCAGCTGGAAGTGCTCCTCCAGAGATCGCATCGGGAAGGCCATTTCGGCCTCCTGCGAGCAGGGATCCTTCACCAGCAGGAGCGATTCGTCGGTGGGCGAGTGATTGGCTGGCGGGGGGGATGCAAGCAGCCGGTGATGCTGTGTGCCGGAGGCCGCCGGCAAGATCGGAGTCAAGTCCTGCGAGGTCGGCCCGGCTGCTGGGGCAGCCACGGCCCCCGGTCCGGGGCGGATGCCTGGGGCATCGTCCACCCGAGCGCGCGGTGACGGCGAGTGCGGGCTGTGGCAGAGACCAAGGCGCCGGAGGGCGGCCGATGCAACGGTCGCCGAGGAGGGTGCGGGCGATTGGCTTGACCTCCCGGCCATGACACTTGGAGACCCCTCAGCGGGAGCGGTCAGCCGAGCGCCGGCAGGGGCCAGGGTGAAGAGAGGCGGCGAGAGCTCCACATCGACCAATGGCGTGTCCCGATCGCCGGCCTGAGTGGGGGTGGCAGGATGCGCCGGGGTCCTCGACTGCGGGGCCTGCCCGAGGAGGGGCGTCTGGCCGCTGGTCGGGGTGCCGGGCGCCAGTGGCCTGCCCCGAGGGGGTCCGGTCACCGGCTGGGTCAGATCAATCATGCTGTCCGGATCCGCGGCCGGGGCCGAGCCCGAAGGGTCAATGAGAGGTGTCGCCGCGTATGGGTCGTCCGCATGGCCGGTGGCCCGGTAGCCAGGCACCGGCGTGCGAGCCAAAACCGGCTGCGTGGCTGCTGGCGACTGGTCGGCAAAGGCGCCCCCCTGCGGAGCATGGGATGGCTGATGGTCCCCATACATGGGGACACGGAGGAGCACTGGCTGCGTGTCGGCCGGCGAGTCGTCGGCCAGGGGGACATGCGCATGGGGGCGCCGGCCGGCCTGCCCGAGGACTGGCGTTCGGAGGAGCACCGGCTGTGTGTCGGCCGGCGAGTGATCGCCCGGACCGCCATGATGCCCGGCGACAGGCCGGCTCCCACCGGTCAGCGGCGTCCGGGGCGGAACGGGCTGCGTGTCGGCTGGCGAATGGTCGACATGGGCCGCAGGGCCGAGACCCGGCCTGCCGGATCCAAGGAGCGGCGTCCGAGACATGACCGGCTGCGTGGCGCCCAGCGACTGGTCCGCGCCCGGATGTCCGGGCTCCGGCGCCAGCATCAGGCCCACGGGCTGCGTCGACCCCGGGCTACCATCGGCTGGGGGGCCACCACTAAGCAGGGAATGTCGGTTGCCGAGGCTCACCGTGGCCGGGGTCGTAGTGAGGGTCGGATCGGCCGCCGGCTGCATGCGCACAGGCGTCAGGCAAAGGGGCGACGCAGGCAGGGTGTCATTGTCCAGGGAAGCCGGCTCGCCGGCCGTGGCAGCAGTGGCCCCGGAATCCGCATCCTCAAAGAGCCCGGTGAGATCCAGCGGCGCCTGCGAGTCAAAGAAGAGGCTGTGCACTGGCGGCAGGGTGTCCGGCTGGTCGCTGGCGGATCCGGAATCCGCGGTGAACCTGACATCGCGTGTGCACATTCCCACGGGGGCATCAGTGTCAGTATAGGGGGGGGGAGGGGAAGCGAATGGCAGACGCAAGCTCAACTGCAAGAAGGAGAGAACCGGAAAGAAAGGGAGGGGGTGGCGGGGCAGGTGGAGGGCGAGAAGCACGCACTCGGCCGTGGCCGGAGGCGGGTCATCGGCATCAGGCCCCCGAGTGGCGTCCATGGGAATGGCCTCCTGGGCCCCGGTGCCTGGGAGCAAGTCGGTCCAATCCTCCGGGAGAGAGGCGTCAATGAACAACGGATCCACCGGCGGCTGGGTGGCAAGCGAGTCGAAGGGATCGGCGGTCGAAGGGCCGGCGGCTGGGGTCGGGGGTGAGGCCGTGGAGGGGGCCACCTCTGCGGCCTCCGCCGCCGCCGTCGTCATCGTGGCCGCCGTCGCCGGTATGGGGGGGGGTGCCGGCAAGGCGAAGATCGCCGAATCGGCCGTGGCAAAGATGGCCGGCGCCGATGGCGTCAAGGAGGATGTCAGCGAACCGGGCAGGCTGCCCTGGTCCGGCAGGGCGGACACGTCGGCCCCAGAGAGCGTGGGCGCCGGCGCCAGCGAGCCGGTCGCCGATTGGGCCAGATCGGCCAGGCGCGCCGGAGTGAGGACAATCTCGACCGTACGACCCGCGACCTCCAGCATTACCCCGCACCGGAGCTCATACCACCGGCCCGGATGCAGGAGGGCCCCATCCCGCAGGAGGGACCCCGCGCCGTGGCCGATCTGCACAAACCATGAAGGCTGGAGAAAGTCGATCTCCACCCCGGGCAGCAGATCCAGCTGGGAAAAGGAGGCAGCCGCCGGAGGCCGATCGGCAGATCCCGCAGGGAAGGCCAAGAATTGCACGGCCCCAGGAGTGCCCGCCGGCTCCGGCATGGAGGACGGGGAGAGCGATGACAGGGACAGGGGCCGCGGAGGGGTGGGGCCGGCGGGCGCGCGGGTCATCACCCGCAAGGCAAGGCATGGCTCGGACACCGGTGGCGGCGGGGCGCGTGCCGGCGCGCTCGCCGGGTCCCCATGGGCCGGACGCCCCGGGGCAGACCGGAGGGCTGGACCAAAGTCCCCCCCGCCAAAGAGAGGGGCCGAGTGTGGCGAGTAGCTGGAGTCGCCACCGGTGTCCAGCTCCAACGGCGGGGTGGAGGGCTCACCATCGGCCGCCGAGTGGAACCCAGCCCCGCCATCGTCGAGGTGCCCTCGCCCGGCCACCGGGAGGTGGGGCGCCAGCATGCCACGGGGAGGTGCTCGGCGTCAGCCTCGGGCGAAACAGGACCTTGGGGAGGAAGAGGGAGCAGAGGAGAAGCGAGGGAGAGAGGAGGGGTGGGAGGGGGGGGGGGGGGGGGGGGCGAGGGGAAAGGGGGGGGCACGGCGGGGGTCGGCCGGGCCCCGAGCCGGCCCCCAAACCAACAAGGAACAATTTAAGCGGGAATTTAAACTAAAACAGGAAAAGGGGAAAAGGAGCAGGGAGAGAGGACACCCCACCAGAAACCGGAAACCCGTAGACCCCTGTTCCCTCTCTCCAGGACGAAATTCCCCCCGTGAAACTTCCCCCCCCCCCCCCCGGCCCCCCCCCCCCCCCCCGGGGTGGGGCAGAGGTGACAAGATTCCAGCCTGGACCGATCAGCCGGACAGCAACTGCCCACGAATGCGGCTAACGGTTTCCATTTTTAAAAAGCCCCCATGGTGCCGATCTCCGCCCAGCAGGGCATGCCATGCCTGTCCCTCCCCCCCCCCCCCCCCACCCCCCCCCCCCCCGCTCTCACCCCCCCCCCCCCCCACCCACCCACCCCCCCCCCCCCCTCCCTCCCCCCCCCCCTCTCTCCTCCCCCCGCGAATACGCATACTTCCGTGATGCAGGCGGCGACACGCAAATCCGCCGGCCATCTGCCGCTCCAACTGGAGGCGGAGCCTGGTAGCCCGGGCGCCGCGCCGCCGCAAACCCCCCATCGTCCGGGCTTCGGACCGGCAGCTCGTGGCCCCTTTTCCGGAGCCACCCCGAGCCGCTTCGTCAATGCCGCTGAGCTTGGCAACACGCTGACCATGTACACGGAGATGCCCCAGGATGAGGTGGCACTGGATGAGTTCTACGACTACTGCATGCGCCGGCAGAGGCGTACGTTTGCCCTGGCCCATGCGCACACGCCCCGCCCGGCTGCGGCCCTGACACCCCCCAAATGTCTCTTGCAGTTCTCCAAGAGATCGATAACGCCGGTGTCCGGCACCCGCCGCAGTCCTCCGGCTTCAAATCGTGCATTCGGGCGGCCCTGACCGCCGCCCGATTCAACATCACGCCGCTAAACACATCAAGCGTCCTGCGCAATGATGACACCCTGATGGAGGCCATCCGCGCGGACCGGATCTCGCACTGGGGCCTGCGCTTGGGCTATGTCACCAAGTGCGTCACATTTCACTTCTGGCCCATCACCCGGCGCATGTCCAGGCGCCACCCTCCCCCTGCTAACACATTCCCCCGCTCGGGCCCCGGCAGCGATGAGAAGCTGACCTGGCTCCTGGAAAAGGAGGCTCTCCTCTTCAAGTACGTGTGCCTGCTTCGCCGCTGCCATCAACTTTTGCCATTCCCTTCCGGGGAGCATCTTGCTGACTTGTATCGGGCTTTTCCCTTCCTTCCGCTGCCAGCTTCCGTTTTGAGGAGCTCCCTGACAAGATGGCCTTCCTGCGGGATAACGAGTTCAATTTCGAAGTGGTGCGTCTTCAAGCGGGCTGGCTGGTCTTGCTGTTGATGGTGCTGCTGTTGCCTGGCAAAGCCCATTGGTTCGCCGGATGGCAAACCATCAGGACGCCTTCCGCTCTTTCTTTGTCTTTTACGCTGACCACACCCACCCGCCTATTCTTCCTTGACGCTGTCTGGGCCATGCCCGCAGGTCAGCAAGGCTGAGCGGCAGCTCTTGGCCTCGCACCTGGCCGCCTACTCCGTCAAGGAGGAAACTCCCGTTTTCAAGGTACGTGTGTGTCTGCGTCTGTGTGTCTGTGTCTCTGTCTGTGTGTCTGTCTGTGTGTCTGTCTGTGTGTATGTGTGTGTCTGCTTTTGTCTGCCTCTCTGTGGACCTCCTCTTGTCATGATGCATGTGTCTCGTCCTGCTTGCCACCTGGTGTGCATCCTCACTCACCCCCAAACACAGGTTCCCTTCGAGCGCGTCCCGGGGCTGGTCGGCTCGCGCATGGTGGCCGTACAGGCGGGCATTGCCTTTGTTCCAATCAACATGATTGGTGATCTGGCGGGCTTTGAGTTCCGCCAGCGCCTGCGTGCCTCGCTGCTGGCCGTGCGCCTTGCACTGCCAAGCATGGAGGATGACGTGCGTGCGGTGGCCATCGTTCGCCAGATTGTCGACGGGGCGACCGCCGCCTCGGATGCAGCGGCCAACTGGTCGGCCGACATGCTGATCCGCGCAAACCAAGTGGATTCGGTGTGTACTTTGCACATTGGCACAGTCGCGGGGCGGCTTCCTCGCCCTTCTCCTCTGCCCCTTTTTCCCCCCTCTCTCTCTCTCTCTCTCTCTTCATGCCTTCCGCCCTGCTGCCTTCCATCGACCAACCTTCACATGTGCGTCTGTTCTAATAATGCTTGCCGGGCTGCACCCCCTGTGCCCCGCTCCCTAGCTTGCGAACCACTTCCCGCCGTGCATGCGGGAAATGCACCGCCACCTGAACACCGTGCACCACATGAAACACACAGGCCGTCGGCAGTTTGGTCTTTTCCTGAAGGTGCGCTACACTCGATCAGGCTGTCCACTTCCCCCCCCCC